TAAGTCAATAATAGAAAGAAAAGCAACCTGATCTAAAAAGTGGCCAAACAACTTGAACAGATGCTTCACAAAAGAAATGCAAAACAGCCAAAAAGCATGAGAAAAGCTGTTTAACATCATTAGTCATAGAAAATGCAAATTAAGCACAAGGAGAGACACTACTCCATAAGCACTAGAATGGCTACAAATAAAGACCCACAATACAGTGTTGGTGAGGATGTGGAGGAAATGGAATTCTCATCATTCGTTGTGGGAATGTAAAATGGTACAACCACTTTGGAGAAGACTTTGACAGTTTCTTCTAAAATTAAACATGCATCTCCCCTAGGACTGAGCAATTATACTAACAGATATTTACCAGAAAGAAAGGGAAAAATAGATCCATACAAAGACTTGTCTGCTTGTTTGTAGCAGCTTTATTCATAATAACCTCACCTAGAAATAACCCAAATATCCATCAGCAGATACGCGGATAAATGAATTCTAATACACTTCAATGGCAGAGCAATAAAAAGGAACAAAGAATAGACATATGCAATAGCATGATTTCAAAACATGTAAGCTAAAAAAAAAGCTAAACACAAGAGTACATACTATCTGGTTCAATTTATAAGAAATTCTAGAACAGGCAAAATTAATCTCCAGAAGCAGAAAGTAGGTCAGTTGTAACCTAGGGCTGTGGAGAGATTGCAAAGGAGGATAAAACTTTTTCTGGTGAAGGAAATGTTCTGTATCTTCCTTGGGCTGGTGATTCCGTGGTGTACACATTTGTAGAAGCTCATTGAACCATGCAGTGAAAACGAGTACATTTTACTGTCTATAAATTATACCCCCATTAAGTAGACTAAATGGAAGAAATCCTAATGAAGGGGTGGACAAAAGCCCCCACAGCCAATTGCTCTCAGATATTGGAATGTGTACTACGTTTCCAGGGTCCTATTTCTTTCCTTGTTTGGGAAGCCAAGTGTTCCTTTAACTAAATGGCTTAGTGTGTAAAATTCTAATTTTAAAATAAAGAGATCACCAAATGCTTTACAAGAAGTAAATGAAAGTCTATAGTACAAATATTTTAAAGTTGAGTGATGGACTCTAGATATCATATGCTATTTTGTGGTTAAGTATGTTTAAGGATATTTGAATCCTGAGTTGTCAAGCAGCTCAGAAAAATGTGCTGAGTACACAAGTGTGCCTTTCAGGAGGGGATGAATCAAATACATTAAATTTCTTATCAAATGTTTAAGAAAATGTGATTAATCAAATCTGTAAACAGTGTTAAGTGTTTAGGAGCATTTAATCAGACTTCTGAGTTAATTGTTGATCAAAGAACTGAAAACATAATTTCTCTTACTATTGTACAAATTTTACTGTACTTATATTTTAATAAGAGGTGGAGCCTAGATTTAAGAAACACTACGACTTAAGGGTATTTTAATGAAGTATTAACATTAAGTATTTGTAAGTATTTTTTTTCATACCAAAACTCTGCTTTGACAGTGAAGCTCAATAACACAGTTCACACATGTCCTTCTTGCCTTTATGAAATTTAATTTCCAGGGAAGTTAAATATCTTCTGCTTTACCTCAAAACCTTGTAAACTGGCCTTATGGTTTACAGCAGTAAATAAATAAGATAAAATAAAATAAAATAAAATACAATAAAATAAATTTAGCAATAATTTAGCTATCTTACAATTCTTATAAAAAATTCACAGATCATATGTCAATTTTGGTTTTACTTATGATTTTCCTCTCTGCCCCCTATTTCTAGCTCACCCCCCATCTTTCACCCTCCAGTGTTAAAGTTGAAAGGACCCAGGGGCTTTTTTCTCCCAGCAATTGATTTCCACTGAGGGCCTATCCTAGGTGTAATGACAATAATCATTGAACCTAGAAAGCAGAGGCATTGAGCACAATTTACATGAAGAATGGCCTCTGCTGACATTTAATTGAGTGTTTCTAACCTATTTCATCTTATTAGGTGGGGAGGATTTCCATCAATTTACAGATAGAGAAACCAAGGTCATGCAATCAGCAAGTGGCAGAGCCAGGACTCATAACTGTTTAAGTCCAAAGCAATTAGTGTCTGTCATTCTTCTCAGGCGAATTACACTCCAGCTGAAGCTATAGCTTTGCCCTCCCTGGTTTGTCATTTCTTGGTGTAATCAACCAATAATTGTGAAGATCTATTTTTTTTCTTTCTGTATCCAGAGCACTGTTATGTAGTAACTGCACACAGATTCAATGAACCCTCTGATCGGTACTCAGACTACTGATTCCTGTATGGACAGAATCCAGGGTACTGGTGGGTTTTGTTGGTTCCCAGTGGAGATGGGGCTTTGGGGGGAAAAAAGGATAGTCCATCCTTGGTGAGGACCCATCTGATTGCTCTTTACTTTCCCTTTGACTCCTCCCAGGCACTCAGCAAATGTCAGCTAATGAATATGTAAGAAGTGAATTATTGGTTAAAAAGGCGGTGATGAAGAATCTACAGAAGAAATATTTGCAGCCCCTCGTGCAGTGTGGGGCACCTGGTAGGGGTTCATTCAATGTTTCCTGAAGAGAATGACACTTCCATTAGTTCCTTCAGCAAAGTATTTATCAAACCCCAACTATGTCTTTTAGGGACACACAGTTTAATACAGTGATGATTCACATACGGTCTCTACTTTGAGGGAATCTGGGGTCTAGAGTAACTAGGGTGCACTTAACAGTGTTAGAGGACAGAAAGCAGTAACTCTGATACAAGACTGCCAGTCAAGGATTTTGACTTTGAAGAAGGTGTGAAGACAAGGAAAGGAAGTTCTTTACCCCCTACATTGGGCTTGTTTCTTGGATATCTTTTTTCACGCTCTCCTCAGACATCTCATGGCCTCAAACTTTTCTTCTCTCTGGGTCAGTCCCAAATCTTCGTTCTGATTCGTCTCCCTACTTTCCCCCTTCTCCCCGGACACCATCTCTATTTAAATAACCTGCCAGCACTGCAGACTCCATGCATCAAAACCTGCACTCGGAATTATCTGCCAGGCCTGTCCCTGACTTCTTGAAGATGGGAAGAGAAAGAAACGTGGGCCAGGGCAATGAGAAGTAGGAAATGCATGGCATGTAGAGACAGGCAGACAGAGGAACATACGCAAAGAATAGGACGGCACCCAATAAAAGTCTCTGGGTTTTTGAAATGTGTTCTTGTACCACCTCCTTCCATTTCCTGATTTCTACCATAAAAGTGGAGAATGCAATCTTGACTTTCCCCTTCTGATCTTCAACTACAAAAGGTTCCAAGTCAAGGGGAAAAGCCTTTCACTTGATGTTCCTCACTTGCACGAATCCTGTCTGAATCCCTCTAATGGAGACCTGGACAATGCTGTAGCTTTCCAGAAACACTGCAGGACCACTTAGCATAATACTGCCTAATAAAACTAGAATTTAAGAAAAAAGGAGGGAGGGCAGAGACTCGTTTGATTATTACTAACATCTTTAGGAAGCCTTCCTCTCCCTATATATTATGTCCCTTCTTTTCTATTAGCTACACAGTAGTAAGAATCTAGAGGAAACTAACACTCATACTTGTAGTAATGGAATTAAGGCGCCAAGACATCCAGGGGACGGATAACTTGAAGCATTCTGGGGGCTCATTCATCTCTTCAAAGCCTTTATTGGGACCCCCAAAAGAATAAATTATGTGAGCATGGCAAACTGGCTAGCTGTTCCAGAAAGCAGTTGCCCTGTCCTCCCAGGCACAATTAAGGCACATTTCCCAGAATCTCTGGTGATCTGAGATGGGCCATTCGACAAAGTTTTGTCCAAAGGAACATGGGTCAGGGATATGCAGGACTTTCGGGCCCTCTTCCCCTGTAGGCTCCTCCAACAAAGAAGACTCTGGAAACTGGAGACAGGCAGCCCCAAGATGGAAGGAGCATGGGTCTCAGAATGACCATGGAAAGCTGTCCACTGACCAAAACACCCACATTGGGCTTTACAAGAGAGAAAAACCTCGGGAAAGTCATGCAACTGCATCCCAATTTCCTAATGTCAAGGACTTGTAACAGTGCCCGACCAAGAGTAAAAGCTCAATAAATATTAGCTGTCATTCCCAACGGTCCAAAACCTCGGGGATGCAGCAGAAGGGGTCCTAAGAGGGAAGTGTATAGCAATACAGGCCTACATCAAGAAGCAAGAAAAATCTCAAATAAACAACCTAAACTTACACCTAAAGAAGCTAGAAAAAGAACAACAAATGAAGCCTAAAGCCAGCAGAAGGAAGGAAATACAGATGAGAGCAGGAACAAATGATCTAGAAACTAAAAGACACCATACAACAGATGAATGAAACCAGGAGCTGGTTCTTTGAAAGAATTAATAAAACTGATAAACCTCTAGCCAGACTCATCCAAAAGAAAAGAGAAAGGACCTTAATAAAGAAAATCACAAATAAGAGGAGAAATAACAACCAACACTATAGAAATACAAGGAAGAAAACATGAAAAACACCAACAAATTAGACAACCTGGAAGAAATGGATAAATTCCTAGAAACATATACACTACACCAAAGATGAGCAGGAAGAAATAGAAAACTTGAATATTAGCTGTCATTATCACAGAAAACAAAGTTTACTTATTAATTTCCTTTGGGGGGGGGCAAAGCGGAGTACTGGAGGCCGGGGGGCAGTGGTCAGTGGAAATCACCGGCTGTATCTATCAGTTACAAAACACCAACTGGTTCTCTACTATGTTTAAGTAGCTCAACACTGTAATAGTAACTCAGAAAAAAGTATTTTCTTCTGGATCCCAAGCATTACATTTTATGACTAGTCTCCTGCTAAAACACTCAGATCTAATAAAGATACGAAATATAAAAAGAATGTGATACCCCCTTCTTTCTCCCCTTGACACTGAACATTTGGGGACATTTAAAAGTTCTGAAAATCCACGTCATTTCTGTAGTTTCAAATTGACACAAAATTTGTACAAAGAATACTCTGCTGTTACAATACTTAACTGATACAGTTTAATAATAGTAATAACCAACTTTTATTGATTTTACATAAATACCTTATAGAATGCCTTTTCCAAACCACGTTTTTCCAATATACTTATGCTATATAACATACAACATTTCTTTATGAAACTATTTGTTAAATCTTTTTGCACAGAAAGTGGGGAAAAGTGAGGGGAGAAGAGGGAAAATAAGATTTCAAAACTAATCTTCAGTGATCGGCCTAAATATTTGGCAATTACTTCCTTTTATAGGAAATTATAAGATGGGAACTTTGAAACATTATCAAAAGTGCAGTGCATCCATTTAATTAAAAAAGCAGTACTGTCAAATATATTACCCGGGCATCAAATTTCCCTTTCTAAATATATTCAGCTTCACATCATCTTATTAAATAATGGCTTAAAATAATAACCATCAAAATCTTTAAATAAGCCCAGATCTGGATTAAATTGTGGTAGTATCAGTATTTTTAAAAATTCTGATTTATTTTTTCATCAGTAAAATGTTAATATTTGACAACGTCCCCAGAGAATAAGCTTCCTGTGTGTAGGAAGATGATAATCTTATTACACCTGCTATTAATTAGGTCATTTACTTGGCCACGAATACGTTCTATCAGATTTTTTTTTTTTTCACACTGATGTATCCACTGGAACAAAATACTACAGGTAGTCATTATCATACCAACATTGAAGACTTAACCATTCCTGAAACAAGGAACCATGTTTATATTAGTATTTCTTTGTTATGATGCTTGGTCTTGGTATTATCAAGCACAATGTATTTTTCTTAATGAATATGGGCAGATTAAGGCAAAATGACATAACCTAGTCCCCTCAATAATTTATTCTCTATCCTTACAAAAACTGTTTTTGAGGCTATACAAGTTACAGATATGCTGGCTACAGAGACACGACACGTCCTTGAGACCAACACCTAATATGGTAAACATGAGGTTAAAATCTCGGTGTTCACAGCATTCCTTCCTTGATCTACATCACGATCATTCCTCAGCAGTACCCACAATGCGGACTCTCAAATACCATTTGCTTGCTATGTCTCTTGGTTGTATGTATGTAGATTATTTTTCCTTATTAAAAATATTTCATAATATTTAATAATAGGGCACCAATCTACTCAGTCTTTGTAAACTCCCCACTGAATAATTTTTCATTTTTACAACCATTTTCTGCATGCCTGTTGCACTTTTCTTCTGTCATCTTCTTCACATAACTAAGTGGTCCTTTCCCTTCAAAGGAGGAAGGATTTTTGAATGAGCCTCCAATTCTATCCCACAAGGTGAAATACTGTCCATAGTTATAGTCAAAGAACATGTGGTGGTCTGTATGATGGGCTGAGCCATTAATAAATGGCCTTAAAATGTGGGGAACACGGAAATCACCATCATGAATGGAAATCGTCCAGATGTTGACCAAGATGTACAAACTTAAGTAGACTACCTTGTGTAATGGGAAGATAAAAGGGTATATATGGTAAGGTAGACTCTGAAGGAAGCCATCCACAGGGTGAAAAGCATGACTTGCAAATGGAGTAGGAATCTTCCAGAGATGATGAGGTTTGTGTATGCGCTATAGAAGAAAAGAACACAGTTAAGAACCACCTTTACTTTTCAACTTGGCTTTTCATGCTCACATTGTAGAAATGACATAACTAAAAAAATCTCTTTAAATTCCACAAAATCACTTTATAAAATGCACCCCTTTAACTGAAAACAGTAACATGTTAACACAGCCCCTCCAGACCCATAAAGAACAAAAACAAAATGAACCTGGTATCTGTCAGGACTATGGCTACTCAGGTATTTAATAAGTTAGAGGAAATTCTTGGAAATAGAAAACAGAATTTGGGGGCACCTGGGTGGCTCAGTCAGTTAAATGTCTGCCTCCGGCTCAGGTCATGATCTCAGGGTCCTGGGATCGAGCCCCACTTTGGGTTCCCTGCTCAGTGGGGAGTCTGCTTTTCCCTCTGCCCCTCCACCCTGCTTGTGCATGCTCTCTCTCAAATAAATAAAATCTTAAAAACAAACTAGAAAACAGAATTTGTAACCATACACTGCTGAAATGTATATATTTTTTCTCTTTCCCCTAAAAATGACTCTACCTTATACACAAGTCTATGATGAAGGCCTCTGTGAATCCAGTAGATCAGCATGTCAGTGAAAAACAGGAAGGACAGTATACTAATAAAGAGGCGAATCCAGCCTAGGAGAGATAACAGGACATATCAGAATCAAGATCTGGCTTCCAGGACCAGAATTTATTTGGTACTTGTCCATCTAAGTGCACAAAATGTGAGCTTAGACTCAAACACTATAAACTGTTTTGGCTAATGCAATACATTATAAATTAATCTCCCTTAACTCCCTGGTATCTGCTGCTTTCCTCATTTCCCTCCCATAAAAACTTGAAGCTAAACTATGAAGGCAATTTCGAGATAGAAAAAGCATACACTTAAGGCATCTTTATTATTTAAATCTCTGAGCATAAATAACACCATTTATTTTTCCTTCATATTAATTTTCGTAAAACATATTTTTACATACTATTTTCCTGCTTAGAATTTTTATTTTCCACTAAATACCTCAAGCCTAGCGTTTACTCCATAACCCAACACTTTCTCATCTTTCCAACCTCACCTGTTCCTGTACTAAGCAGGCTGGTTTACTCAATGTCCTCCCAACATCTTGAAAGTCTTACCTCTGTACCTTGACTTGTTCTGTTCCAGGTATCTAGAACACTAGTTCTCCTTTTATTTTTACTCATAATCCTACCCACTTTTCAAGGCCTAGCCAATTCATCACCCTACTGTATAATTTTTGTTCCTTCCTTCAAATATCTTACTTGGACAACAGGTGTGTTGGTGCAAGCAAGCCTGGGTTCCAGTCCCAGATCCACCACTTCCCTGCTGAATGACCTAGGCAAGTTACTGTACATTAATTTACTCACCTATAAAAGGAACACGTCATAGAACTGATGTGGAATAAAACAGACTGATACATGTGAAAAGCTTAGAACTGTAGCTGGTACGTAATAACACTCAATAAATGTTAACTACTATTCTTACTTTCTAATACTAGATACTAGAGATGTATCTTCATTAAATAATTTCAGAATTTCACAAAAATTTAGTTTAGGCACTGCAGGGCTATCTATAATAGAAAAAAAGGAATGATCTAAAGGTCTAAAAAATTGGGGATCATTTAAATAAACTATGGATATCTACACAATGTGATACTATAATATACTATATAATGTCAGTATTTACTGACATGAAAATATGGGCATATATACTACTAAGGAAAAAAAAAATCAAAGTCCAAACCAGTTTATATGGTAGGGCTTCATTTTTGTAACAAATAATGAAGTAGACAGGCATAGAAAAGTGGAAAGATATATGTCAAAAGAGGTAGTTTCTAGGTAGCAGGATAGTGGATTTTAAAACTCTGTCTTTTCTGATTTTTTCTAATTATCATGTACTACTTGAGTTTTTTGTTTTGTTTTGTTTTTAGAGTCTGAATTCAATAAAGAGAATAGTGAATGAATGCAAAGGTCTCTCTGATCATATTCAGCTTTCCCTGGGCACAATTCCATCTACAACCAATACTTTAAAATTGATAGATTAGGAAATGTATGTATGTGGCAAGACATAATACACAAAAACAGAGCATTAAAAACAATTAAACAACTGGCAATTATTTTCAAAGAAAAAAAGAGGCAGATTGGTTCTTTAGAGAAGCCACTCTGTGCCTGACGTTCATATTATTAACTTACCACTGGGAAACTCTCCTACGTCATCATATAATTTGCTGTAACCTTTTAACTCCAGCAGGAACAGTGACACAGTGGGAATACTAATCCAGGGCAATGACTGGACAGTAAACGTAATCTCTCTATAGACTTGATTCTGAAAATGAAATGGCCAGTACTTAAAAATCACAAAATCTGTGTTAAACACACACCAGCATAAAATCATCTTGGATTTTTACAATCTCTTTTATATGAAGGAGCTTGCCGCCAAACTGTTTCTGTGAAAATGGCAATAAGTGGTAATGAGTGTGTAAGGAGAACATTCCTTTTGTAAAGAGCAAAGGCAATAAATACTTTAAATTCTGAAACTTTCTCTCTTTCCCACAAAATCTGCATGCTAGATTTCTATTTATGGATTAATCATGTCTTTCACGAATAATGTCCATCCCCAACCCTCTATTCATTTTTTTTTTTCAGTCCTTGGGAGTCACTGATAAATACAAATAACTGGAGTAGAAAAATGATTGTAAACAAGTCTACAATCTCCTATCTAGTCAAAAAATGGGTACGTAGTAAAAACATGTTTTCAGTTTGTGGAAGTCAAACATTAAAACAATTACACAAATGTGTGCATTTATTTATTCATCACTATTAGCAAAGAAATTCATTCCTATGTATCTAGGAAGACACAAGACACTTATAATTAAAAAAAAACAAATAACAAAAAAGAAAGTTGGGTTCATTTATTTGTTTAAATTAAGAGAAGGAGAGAGGGGATTAGCCCTACCAAAAACATCTAACCCATCTGAGGCTGGTTGCAAAAATTTTTACTTAATGGCTATAACCAGTTTAATTTGAAAATCTCACATACAAATACCTATTATTTTTACTGTAACAGTAGTTAAAAAGTAGGTAAGAAAATCACTTACCTTTAAAAATTGTGGATGCTTCATCAATGAATGATCATAGACAAAATAATAGCTCAGTGTTGCAAAGAAGAAATAAAGGATATAAGCACCAAGATTTGTTACAATCAGGAGACTAATAGTTTGTCGGAAGATGTCATCCTCAGACCATGAGGCTGGATAGAAGTATGGTGTAAAAAAATAATAATCTGCAGCATTGAGTACAAGATCCATCTTAGCCCCTAAAGGATAAACATGTGCAACAATTATTTACCCTTGCTGATAGTTCCCAATGCAAAAAACCTGGAAAAATTATACAAGAAGTTCCTGCTTTAATAAGCACTTACAGTATAATTCTGTGGCTAGCTACCAGAATCCCTGAAATGCCATCGTTAGAGCCAGAAGGGATCTTAAATATCATCTCTAGTCCAATCTCTTCATATTATACCCGGGGACATCAAAGCTCAGAGAAACTGAGGCCCAGAAAGTTTTTTTTCTCTAACATCCAGCTGATAAATGGCATCAATGTAGATCTAATGCCATCTTTGTGTTCTTTTCCAATGTCTCCTACGGCCACGTGGCAAGTAGTAAAGATGTGGAACGCAGGGCAGTAGATACTCAGATGTTCACTCCTTCGGCTACAAGTTTCAGTGGTACGTCTCTTCTGATTTCAGAGAGTTTTCCTTCAGTGCTGAGACTGAAAGATAAATTTGCTAGATGGATCTATGCTGCCACCTCAGGGACTATCTGTTCTTGTGACAGAAGGAAAGGCCACTCCCATCGACAGAACAAAAGGGGACAGATTCTTGACAGTAAGAACGAGAAGACACTTACTCCTCTCCCCCCAGTCAATACTCCAGATTGGGGGCTGGCAACTGCCAACTTGTAACTAAAAGTTCGAGGAGGAGAATGCACAAACGGGTTGTCTGCGAATAACTTAAAATTTTCAATTGCCTTCAGTCCAGCCTGCCTGGAGCTTGGCTCACCTGTATGTGTTAGTGAACTAGCCTGAAGATTTTTGCCCAGGTATTTTGTGAGGCTCATTCAAACACTGTGGACATGAATATATACTGAGATATCATTTCTTTGCTATTGGATTAATGAACATCCTACAGTTTGGTGATGTTCTCTGCTGGTACGGTTGTATGGAAATAGGCACAATCCTACACTGCTGTGGGCTTGCCAAGTGACGCAGTTCCTATGCAGAGCATTTAACAGTATGCTACTACCACGGTATTCCATACCGCTGCAGATTTATTCAGCACTCAGGCTGTCATCTGCTATTATCTCAGCTAATTCATCAGGGTTATGTTCAGCTGTTTCATGATCAGCAGAATCATTTTCACCATACTTTCAGACATTTTTCACTACATGGCTTCCTAAATTTCTGGCCCCTCCCGTCTTAACACTAACGTTTGTCCTCAGTAGAGCAGTTCTTCATGATATATCCTTGCTTGTTGCCTGATCAACAAAGCAATCAGTGGCATTTATTTACATTCTTGTTGTCAAATCCACTTAATCAAAACATGGTTAGCATCTTCATTTTCTCTCCTGGGCTGTGCTTTCCCATTTTTCATTAGTTCTTGGTCCTCACCACTGGTGTAAAACTTCAGCAATCTGTTTTTCCGGTCTCTAAGTCACACGGGGTGGTAATGCCCACGCTGTCTTCCTCAGTAGGAGGGCTCACAGACAACAGGCACAAGCTCCTACAAGAACTCCATGTCTGTATGGGGCAGGGGCTCAGTCGTCAAGCGTCTGCCTTCGGCTCAGGTCATGACCCCGGGGTCCTGAGATCGAGCCCCGCATCCAGCTCCCTGCTCCACGGGAAGCCTGCTTCTCCCTCTCCCACTCCCCCTGCTTGTGTTCCCTCTCTCACTGTGTCTCTCTCTGTCAAATAAATGAATAAAATCTTTAAAAAAATAAATAAATAAAAAGTGATCAACAGGGGCACCTGGGTGGCTCAGTCGTTAAGCATCTGCCTTCGGCTCAGGTCATGATCCCAGGGTCCTGGGATTGAGCCCCGCATCGGGCTCCCTGCTTGGCGGGAAGCCTGCTTCTCCCTCTCCCACTCCCTCTGCTGTGTTCCCTCTCTCGCTGTGTCTCTCTCTGTCAAATAAATAAAATCTTAAAAAAAAAAAAAAAAAAGAACTCCATGTCTGTGCCATTCCTAATGACGGATGCTTCCATTCATTCTGTTATTCAGATGGGCTATCTTTAACTATTTAAAACAATATTTCCATCTGCAATTAAACCCAAAGTAACAAAAATAGTCCCCGCAAAGAGCAGAGGTAGGGATATCTGACAGGTGCGCCAACACACAGTGGGCACCTCAGTCAGCTGGAGAAAGCGTGTGTCATCAAATGAGTTTGAGCGCCAGCCTTTAAAAAACAAAAACTTCTAGTTTTTCAGGGCTTTTCAGACTTTGAAACTGTGGCTAAGGGACTGTGGCCGTGCCTTTGTGTGACTTCATTGTCGTTTAACTCATGTATAAGCATTTGGATAGATTCTCACCTTATGCAATTTAAAACAATGCAACAATGATTAATCCAATACTGCATATATTTCTACAAGCAGAAGAGCTATGGCAAAGATCAAATGCGTCGGTAACTTTGGCAGACACTGCTAAATTGCTCTGCATGGGAGCTGCGTCACTTTGCAAGTCCACAGCAGTGTACGATCGTGCCTATATCCCTACAACCTTACCAAAAGAGAATATCATCAAACTTCAGGATGTTCGTTAATCTGATGGCAAAGAAATGATATCTCAGTATATAATTTATCTTTTTCTTAATATGAGTGAGGTTGAGCATCATTCCATATATTTAGCATAATTTATATATATTTTTCTTTTTTTTTTTAGATTTTTTTTATTCATTTGAGAGAGAGCACAAGCAGGAAGAGAGGCAGAGGGAGAGGGAGAAGCAGACTCCCCGCTGAGTCTGGAGCCTGACGTAGGGCTTAATCCCAGGACCTGGAGATCATGACCTGAGCTGAAGGCAGACACTTAATCATCTGAGCAACCCAGGCGCCCCAATTTATATTTTTTTCAGTGAAATTACGTTTTTATCCTTTGCCCATTTTCCCACTGGGTTTTTAGTTTCTTAAAATCAAATTCTAGAAGTTCTTTATTTATTAAGAGTGTTATCCTTGTTTGTGATATGAGTTGCAAGCATTTTTTTCCCCTCACTTTGTCATGGAAAGGTTTTTTTAAATATATATTTTTTATTTATTCATTTGAGAGAGAAGGAAAGAGAAAGCGCACAAGCAGGGGGACGGCAGGCAGAGGGAGAAGCAGGCTCCCCACTGAGCAAGGAGCCTGATGTGGGACTCGATCCCAGGACCCCGGGATCATAACCTGAGCCGAAGGCAGTCACTTAACCAACTGAGCCACCCAGGAGTCCCTGTCATGGAAGGTTTTAATTAACTAATGTCAAATGCCAGATATTAACATATATCCTTCATTATACATTGTTAATTCATTTAAATAACAAGTATCAAGCACTACACTAGGTAATGAGCATACAAATATTGAAAAGATACAGTCTAAATCCATCTGAAAGGTAAGGCAACTACAGAAACAATTACATCAATACAAGTGCTATAATAAAGGTATATACACAAATTCTATATAATCAGAAAAGACAACACAACTACAACAGCTTATAGTAGAAGGCTTCATAGTGACAAGAGCTGACTCTGGCTTTAAAGGACTTTATCAGAAAGAAAAGGTCAGGGATGGCCATTTCAAACAGAAATAACAACTTGCAGTTTACCTGGTGGCTCAGCTGGTTAAGTGTCTAACTCTTGGTTTCCGCTCAGGTCATGATCTCCAGGGTGGTGGGATGGAGCCTCAAGTCCCCGCCCGTGCTCGGCGGGGAGTCTACTTGAAGATTATCTCCCTCTGACCCTCCCCCCACTAAAATAAATAAATAAATCTAAAAAAAATAAATAACAACTTGCAAAGGCATGGAAAAAGTCGTGGTACATTCGTGACTCACTGGGTGTCGCTGGTGGGTGCCAAACAGTGAGACAGGGGTGAAGTAGAGGGGGTGGAAACTGTTCCAGGATAAACCTGGTAAAAGGAAACTGGTGTCAGGCTGTGAAGAGCTGTTGCCCTGCTAGGGAATCTGACTCTCCCTGATAACACGACGGGGAGCTACTAAAGGTTGCTGAGCAGGAAAGACGTTCTAATCAGACCCATATTTCATAGAAACCACTCCATTAGGAATATGAGTATTGATGAGCAGAAGAGAGAGAGACTACTTTGGTTGCTCCCGCGGTAGACTGACTAGCTCAGCAGCTCTGAGAACACACGTGCACCTACACCGGAGACTTAGCAACTAAAACCCCACAGGGCTTGATGACCAATTAAATACTGGAATGTGAACGAGGGAGAAATCTAGGATGGCTGTGAGATTTTAGCTGGCCTGAGTGGATGGTGATGTCACCAGAATCAAAAGAGGGAATGCTGGGAGAGCTGGTAGCTGGTAGTCCCCACAGGAACAGGGGCGCATAAGGAATGAGGGATTCAGTTTGGGTCTTAAATCTAAGTAAGCAGAGACTAATAAGCTTTAAGTCTATGCTTACTCTTAGACATAAGCAGGAGACTACATACAAATATGAATCTGAAGTTCCAAAGTGAGCTTGTAGTAGTTGAAACTGAAGCCATAAGGAGTAGAGACTGCCTTGAGAGATCATGTAGCAAAGAAAGCAGGCAAAGTAATAGCAGGAAACAAACAGTCTGAAACAACCTAACGACTGGAGAAGGATCTTGTGACACCACTAAAGGTGGGTTAAGAGTTTGCAGCCTGATCTGGATGTTACCTTGTGTCCCATAGCCCTAAATCAATACAGTACAGACAAGACTGCACAATGCAGCCCAAACCAACTCAAACAGTAACTAAGACTCTTATTTATTCAACCTTTAATATCAGATGCAAGTAATAACTTTCAAAAGATCTCAGTCCTTAACTTCAAGAAACTCTTTAGTTTTGCTTTTATCTGAAGACCATGCTACTTGTGTTAATTTGTATATTCCCCAGACATAATTGCTGTTACAGTAAACCAGTGCCTGGAAGGGAGGAAGAAATGTACTTCAGTCAATCTAGAGGCAGTTTAGATACTGTGAAATAAAACCTTTTTTAACTGTTTTTAGAATTTTGCTTTCAATTAATTCTATTTGTTGAATGTAATAATTAAATATTCATAAATATATCACTATACTTTCTGACATCTAACAAAAAATCTTCTGAAATCAGGAACAATATGACCTCAAAATTGCATTTCAAATTTGAAGTTTATATTCAAACCCACATCTGTAAAATTATAGAATTGTTGTTAAGGTTTAGAGACTAAGTCCCTAGTGTTTGGGCACCATCTGACAGAGAATTTAGTCAATAAACAGGAGCTATTATTATTGCTGTTATGGGGCCAAAGCTGAGTCAAAATTACTTTAACCTAAGGGAGAAAAAGGTGTCATTTGATTTTTCTTTGAAAAATAATTGGTGATATCTAATATCAATATTTACTATACACTTGGTACCATAAATATTAGCTCCTTCAACACTTTCAAGAAATCCTAAGAGTTAGGTACTAGTGTTACGGATAAAGAAGCTGGGCACAGGAATCTGGGTCATCTGGGTGGCTCAGCCAGTTAACCGTCTGCCTTCGGCTCAGGTCATGATCCCAGCGTCCCAGGATTGAGACCCACGTTGGGCTCCCTGATCAGCAGGAAGTCTGCTTCTCCCTTTGCCCCTCACCCAGCTCGTGCTCTCTCTCTCTCTCTCAAATAAATAAGTAAATAAAATCTTTAAAGATTTTCAAGTAATCTGCTTGGGATCATCAAGTACACAAATGCTGGGGCTGGAACTCAGACACATGCAGTCTGGTTACAAAGTCCCAAAGTTTGTTTAAGTTTTTATTTATTTATTTGAGAGAGAGAAAAAAAGAGAGAGAGCACACGCACACACAAGCAGGGGGAGCGGCAGACAGAGAGAGGGAGAAGCAGGCTCCCGGCTGAGCAGGGAGCCCAATGTGGGACTCTATCCCAGGACCCTGAGATCAAGACCTGAGCCAAAGGCAGATGCCCAACCTAGTGAACCACCCAGGTGCCCCTCAAAGTCCCAAGTTCTTAAACCAAGACTTGAACCAATTTCGACTGCCTCTTCATCACTATCTCAACTCTTCAGCTCCTTAATTTTTTAAATTCTCAGTGACTACAAACTCACAATTTTGCATATAATTTTAAGGCGTTTATACCTCCTTAGGTCAGGGCTCCACAGACCCTAAGTTAAATATCCCTGACTAAAACAAAAGCTTGTATTATTTTACCTTTATAGAAACAAAGAAAACTTTTTCATAAAACACAGTTATTAATAAAACACAATTAAGCTAGAATAACTGAGTCTACTATTACTTTGGCTTTACTTTAAAAGTATTGATAATAATAGTTCACATTTGTTGAGAACCAGGTATTATTTAAAAGCATTTTTTATGTATCACCTCGCTTAATTCTCACAACCCTACGAGGTAGGTAGAGGTAGGTATTTCTATAACTCCTACTTTATAAATAGGGAAACTGAGGGCAGGAGTATTTAAATAACTTGTCAAGTACCAAGTTACACCTGGGACCGTATATTCCAGAGTCTGTTCTGTCAGCTTCGACATTATGTTATCTCTCAACTTGTATACATACAGATGGGGAATTCTGAGTATCTCATGCTAATTACATTACATAATGAATGGAAAAGCATTCCATAAGTGATCAAGGATCATGTATTTATCTTTTTTTAGATGCTCATCATTAGAAACCTAAACACAGGGGCGCCTGGGTGGCTCAGTTGGTTAAGCGACTGCCTTCGGCTCAGGTCATGATGCTGGAGTCCCGGGATCGAGTCCCACATCGGGCTCCCTGCTCGGCAGGGAGCCTACTTCTGCCTCTGACCCTCCCCCCTCTCATGTGCGCTCTCTCTCTCTCTCATTCTCTCTGTCTCAAATAAATAAATAAAATCTTAAAAAAAAAAAAAAAAAAGAAACCTAAACACACACACACACACACAACGACGGTGATATAAAGACAGGTAACCTGCCGGAAGGTTTTGGTTAAAAATATCTGGCTACCACAAGCTTTCCAGGTTGGAAACTTTTCGTACTGACACTTGGAACTTCACCCATCTATACCACCTCCAAATCCATTCTGCTATAACATGTGGATTGCCAGTAGACATGATGTTTTCCTTTTACGATGCTAACCTAAAAGATTAGTCCTCTTCCCTTTTAGTCTTCCTTCTCAAACCGCGGACTGTTGTCCTCCCATCTTTTTTTTTTTTTTTTAAAGATTTTATTTATTTATTTGAGACAGAGAGAATGAGAGAGAGAGAGCACATGAGAGGGGGGAGGGTCAGAGGCAGAAGCAGGCTCCCCGCCGAGCAGGGAGCCCGATGCGGGACTCGATCCAGGGACTCCGGGATCATGACCTGAGCCGAAGGCAGTCGCTTAACCGACTGAGCCACCCAGGCGCCCTCCTCCCATCTTAATTACGTTGCAGTAACTAGGGTTTGCGCTGTAATGGTCAGGAGGTCACAGCCTAATTTCTTTGCCCCTTTAAAAGAGAAAAATCCCTCCAACACAGAAGGATATCCGTCTCAAAGTAAAGCATTAGTGTTCGCTGGACCGACTTCCTTGGATGAGCGCTCTGCAATAGCCGACATCACACATTTCGTTTTCTGCACGCCCATCTTTGTGCCTGTTTATTTCACGTGCGGGCCTCCTCGGCGCCCCGAAACCTCGTCCGGCCGGGCAGAGCCCCCACCCCCACCCCACCCAGGCCTCCGGGACAGCGGGTGTCCCCTGAGCCCCGCACTCGACGCACCACGGCCCGCGCCGGCTTCCGGGATGCCCGGCTGCCTGCCAATCCCTGCCGCCGGTCACCGATAGCCCAGCGCCCGCCGAGAGCCTGACACTCAGGCGGCGTTCCACCCACGCCCGCCGCTAGTCGGAAAAGGCCGGCCGCACATCTTCCCCACCTGGGACCCATCCTGCTGATTGTTCCCCATCCACTTTCCTCCCCGCTCCTCGCCCGTCCCCCTCAGGTGTATTCCGCCTCCTCTTCCCGCCCTCCAGCCACCCCTACCTCCAGAGGGTCTGTGGCCGACTCGGCCTCCGCGGGGACCTAGGCTGCGGGGACCACTGGGCGGCCGGCGGTGGTCAGCCAGCGGGCCAAGCCTGGAGGGGCGGAGCCACGCACACGCTCCTAGCGGCAGACGCCGCCAGCCAATCAGAGGCCGGCGGCATAAGCTGATATGACGGCAGATCGCGCGACTTGGCTGCGCGCGGCTCTCAGTGGTCACGTGGGCGCCGCGTGCTCGGCCACGCCCCCATCGTCCTCTCGTTGGAAGGAAGGGCGGGACCCCGGTTCAGGTACTGAAGCGGCGGAGGCTGGAGTTTCAGGTTTTGTTTTTGTTTGCTTTTCAGCTGCCACTGCGGGTGTAGTTCGGAGTCTTGCACGAAGCAGGTTTACTGTGTTTATGCAGACGTCCCTAAAACCGATGCTCTACCTTGAGGGAAATAGGTATTTCCTTTGAGTTGAATGTCAGAGGCATTTTCCTACTCAAGGAAGCTCAGTAACTGTAAAGCAATTACTAGTATTTCTCAATCGGGAGCCTGCCCTTTTATATAGCATTGAATGGCTGGAATTTGGCCGACCGAGTTTAGGTAGGTGTTTAAATGACAGGAACGTTTTCACAGAACAGAGAAAGCAAATCTATGCAGACTAAACGGGGATCTGTGTGGCTTGCTAGAGGTCTGCTTTGGTCTGGGAGTGTGTAGGTTTTTGTGTGTGTGTGGTTGGTGTTGTTTTGGTTTTTTGTGGTGTTTGCTTTTCTAAACGTAAATTGAGGTGGTCACACTTGTAAATCAAATTCCTGGGAGCCTCAGTGCAGTGCTTCTCAAAGGCCGACCAGCAGGGTCAGCATCATCTGGGCGTTGCTTGGAAATACAAATTCTTCGGAGCCGCTCAGACCTCCTGGATCAGCATCTCCCGGAGGGTCCCAGGAATTTGTATTTTAACAAACCCAAAGTGAGTCTAAACGTTTGTTAAAGTTAGTAAACCACTGTTCTAATGAATTTGACCAGTCAGAAGAGAATTTAGTCCTTCAGTTTTGCGCCCTCCAGAGTGATAAGTAGAAGAAAATGCTGGAAAGTGGGAGATGACTAAGTTTGGTAAAGATCCATTTCTGTTTCCTTACAGGACCATCAGAAGTACGACCATGTTAAGGGGAGAAATTATTAGACTCCAATCATAAAAACCTTTTATATGAATATTGTTTTAAATATCTGTGGCTTGCCTCCTAATTCATTTTTTAAATTGGCCTGTAACCGTATATTAGTTTCAGGTGTACAAAATGACTTGCTAACGGTATATTCGTTTCAGGTGTACAACCTCGACGTGAAATTGGCTCCTACTTTCCAAATCACATTTCTTGTTTACTTTTATTGTTTTCATTTAATCCTTTAATTTTTGAGAGTAAGATTTTTATGTATCATTTCTGAGGAACATAAAAATGTGGTTTGTTAACCTTAAAAATAAAACAGCCAGTTATTTTGCCAGCGAAATGGGTTTATTTGAGAATAGTAGAGGATTGCAATTTGGGACAAGCAAGCTATGGCAAAATCATAGGCAAATCCACAGAACAAAAGAGAGAAACTCTAGTTTATAGAGGAAAAGGGGAAGTTGGGAAGGCTGTTGTAATAAAAAGTCCATTGGAATAAACTGGGAGTTGGAAGTAGAATGGCTTTTCATTGGCTGGGTTGTTGCCAGGGCAGAAGGAAACCTTCCTCTTACCGGGGTAGTAAAGTAATAGCAAAAGTAAATGGGAAAAAAAAAAAAAAAAAGTAAATGGACTTGCAAGGTTAGGCTTTTCCTGTTGGGTCTGCAATTGACTCGGAGTGGTGGGGTGTGAGAGCTCCCCCTGCTGGCATCTGAACTCCATTTTAGTGAGATTTCCTTTCATTCTCACAGATTTAGAGGGTATTTAGTACAAAGGTTCCACATTTGTGGCTGCTGTAGGCTTGCCAATGTTGTTTGTTTAGTCCATAAGTATATTTTTCCCTTTACTTGAATTAAGTAATTTCACATTTTAGAAAAATGATCTATTGTGAAAGACTGGGAAATCTGACATTGAAATTATAAGCAAACCTCAAATATAATATTCTGAATAGCTAGAATTTTATCATTGAATATGTACTAGATAATACACCACCACCAGATGGTGATACATGCTATGAAGAAAACAAAAGGGTGAAAGGACCAAAATTGATGATGGCTGTTTTTTTAGATAGCTGGTCAGAGTCCGTTTCTCTGTGTGGGGAACATCTGACCAGAGTGAAGTTAGGGAGCCTCATTTGCTCAGAAGCTTCTAAACTGAGATTTAGAGTCTGAGTGTTTTTGATGAGCTGATAGGGCCACTGGCTCACAAAAATCTATTTGTGTGAATTTAGTTTTTAGATAGAAAGGAATATTCAAGAAAAAGGTAGGTGCCCAAGTATCCAAAAACAGAGGACGAGAAGATATTTATTCCTCAACCTGGTGCCATGGGTTAGATTTTAACTTCCAGTATGGTACTTAATATTTTAGGGATCAGAGATCCCTCTGAAAATTAGATGAAATCTATGATCTCTGTCCCCCCCTAAAGTACACATTGCATACAGTAGAAGCTCTTCCTAACTAGTGTCCACTTAACTAATGTTCTCAATAGCCTTTCTGAAATATGCCAGCTGATCCCTGGAAAATACTAAAGACACACAGCTGGTAGCCTTCACTTTGGTTCACTCCTGCGTATCTGCTTCCACCAATTGAGTGGAATGCTTAGCAAGAGTCAGTTATGCTTGTTACCAATCTATTGATTTCCGTTGTACTCCTCATAATTATGTAATTAAATTACACAAATTGACAAAATTTGAGTCTGCAAAGAAAAATAATTTGGGTTTTTTTTTTTTTTAAAGATTTTATTTATTTATTTGACAGAGAGAGGTAGCGAGAGAGGGAACACAAGCAAGGGGAGTGTGAGAGGGAGAAGCAGGCCTCCCACGGAGCAGGGAGCCTGACGCGGGGCTCGATCCCAGGACCCCGGGATCACGACCTGAGCCGAAGGCAGATGCTTAACGACTGAGCCACCCAGGTGCCCCAAGAATTTGGGTTTTTTTAAGATCGATTTATTTGAGAGAAAGCGCACGCGTACATTCTCACGCACAAGCAGGAGGGGCAGAGGGACAGAGAATCTGAAGCAAACTCCCTGTGAGTGTGGAGCCCATCAAGGGGCTTAATCTCAGGACCCCAAGATCACAACCTGTGCTTGGGGCTTACCCAACTGTGGCACCCAGGCACCCCAAGACTTGTTTCTATGAAAACCAAGAATGCTTTGGAAAGACAGCATAAAGATGAGTGCTAATAAAAATTGCTATTGAATTGGGTGTAGGCAAGGTGGTTATGAGAGACTAGAAAGACTTTTTCAAGCCCCAAATCTGGTAGGATTCTGCATTCAATTTGATTTGCAAGAGTCTTTAACTTGTCTCTACTGTGAACAAATTAAAACTGAAAATCAAATGCAAAGCACTAGACATATAGTTTAGGCAATAAAGACTGCCCAGAATTCCAGTCAGAGGGACCGTACTCAAAAGAAAGGCTTTGGGGAATGACTGGAGAGTAAATTGGTAAAAATAAAATTCTTAAGTTATGTATATATATATATATATATATATATAGACGAGGATGTAGGTTAGGCTTCTTGTGACAGACACCCAAAATAATAATGGTTTACTCCAGAGAAAAGTTTTTCTTTCACAGAAAAGTGTTAATTAACATTCTTGTCTGTGGTAACAAAAATTATATAAATTATAATGACCCCAACACAATATAAATTTATTTTTCACTTGAAAAACAGTTCAAATGGATGATCCTGGTCATTGGGTAGCCCTCCTCTAAATGGCATCCAAGTTTTTCCATCCTGTAGTTCTACCATTATCATAACTTTCTGTGTCTTATCTAGAGAAATGGGAAAGAGGGAATGGAACCTGCATACCCACTCTTTTAAAGCCTTGGTCTGAAAATTCCATACATCATCTCTCACATTCTGTTGGCTACAACTCCATGACATGGCTACATCTAACTCTTTGGGAGGCTGAGAAACATAGCCTTCATTCTGGTAGTCTGTTCAGCTAAAATCAGAGTTTCTAGGGGCGCCTGCCTTCAGCTCAGGTCACGATCTCATGGATTCTGGGATCGAGCCCCGAGTCGGGCTCCTTGCTCAGTGGGGAGTCTGCTGCTCCCTCTGCCTCTCCCTTGAGTGCATGCTCTCTCTCTCTCAAATAAATAAAATATTAAAAAAAATAAAATCAGAGTTTCTGTTGCTGTAATAGTTATCTCTTGCTTCGTAACAAATCACTCCAAAACATAATGGCTTAAAACAAGAAACATTTACTTCACGGTTTCTGTGGATCAGGAATCTGGATGTAGCTAAGCTGGGTCCTCTGGCTGTGGCTTGCTCAGAAGGCTGCAGTCAAGGTATTGACCATGGCTCTATTTGGAGAGAGTTGCTCCCAAGCTCACTCAGTTGTCTGCCAGCAGCCTCAGAAGATCCACTTCCAAGTTCACTCACAAGGCCACTGGCAGCCATCGAGTCCTTGTTGGCTATTGCCAGAGAAACTGACTTATTGCCATGTGGGCCTCTCCATAGGGCAGCTCATAACGTGGACGCTGGAACAGAGCAGGAAGGGGAGAAAGCAAGAGAATGAACAAGATAGAAGCCAGAATCTTTTTGTAACCTAATCTCAGATGTGATTTCTGTATTCTTTTTGTTAGAAGCAAGTCATAGGTCCAGCCCACATTCAGGGAAGTGGATTTCACAAGGTGAGAACACCGGGAGGCAGAGACCAGAGGCAGAGAATTTAAATAAGTTAGCCAAGGGCACAAAACTTGTAAGAATTAGAGGAAGAATTATGAGCTTTTCGTAGCTGGCTGGTGGGTAGATTGGCCCTCTGTGAGTGTTGGGCCCTTTTCCCCTGGATCATCAGTACTCACCAAGGACCCTCTGCAGGTCTCTGGGGTTCTCTCTGTGCAGCTCTCTCCTCTCTGGCACTCTGTCCATGAACTTGAACTGCCTTGGTATCTCCACACTCTTCACTCCATCTCCTCAGCTCAGGGAGCCAACTGGCCTCCACCTTAGTTCTGTCCCTACCCTGCATCCTAGAAACTCTCTGAGCAGAAAACTGGGGCAGTCGCTGGACTCATTCGTTTTCTGTTTTTCAGGCAACACTGTCCTTTGTTACCTGACATCCCGTGTCTTGAAAGCCTTTGATTGGTTGTTGTTTCAGGCAGGAGGGTAAATCTGGTCCCTCCTCCTCCATCTTGTCTACAAGCAAAA